TGATTTTTTTCTGATATTTTTTCGTTTGGTGTTGTTGTTGTGCCCGTGTTGTTGTTGTGAATCTCATATGGTACAAATTGTATGCTAAATGAGTAAAAAATAGCTGACTGGGTCATCTTCCTCATTTGGCCCTTTGACGCTTTCTTCCTCTCAATCGGCTTGCTACCTTGCTCTCCCACTTTCTGATTATGAAGACATCGCCTCTGTGTTCACAAACTGCATTCGACCATAGGCTTCAATCTCTGACCGCTGTTGTCATCCTCCTTGCCGACCACCGCCTCCATCGTTACCTACTGCATTGACCACCACTGCTACTCATTTCCTCTGTTCTTGATCTCCACCTGATATAACTTCAAATCAGGTTTTTTTTTCTTTCTGATTAATTATAGATGACAGATTTTATGTTTTATTCCTTGATTGCAAGTTGATAGCTTTAATATTACACTGAAGTTTTTCACCAACTTGATCAAGCTGAATGAGGCAATATGTTACTATAATGCATATTTATTTGATACAAAAAGCATTATGGGTTTAGTAGTTATTCAATAGAGTAAAGTGGCATTTGAATATCCAAATGATACAAAAGGAAGTTATTAACTATAGAATTTGATGATAAAGATTATGTTGAACCTACCTTGAAGGACTTGAATATTATAGTTATGTATGTGTTGTTGCTGATATTGATACTTTATCTGACAACAGGTCGTTGATTATAAGAAGAAAAAAAGAAGCAGGATAACTTTCAAAACAGACCTTGATGTAGAATGGTTTCATCCCAATTGATGAAGATTCATATGCCACTGATAATGGAAAAGAAAATGGCGTAGAGAAAAAAAAAGGATGGAAGTTAGTTAGGTTAATTCATCTCAATTTTTTGGACTTTTGGTTTAGAATTTTTTTCAAAATTTTCATATTTGTTATGGTAATAATAACGATCATGCCCCAGTCTATTATTATCAAAGTGCAAGTCCTTATGCATTTTTTTTAATCTATAAGCCATATTTCATTCTTCCTCTAAATTTTGACAAAAACATTAAAATGTGACAGATAACTCATATTTGAGTCATTTTCATTATGTATTAACTAATTTTTGTAATAAGCTCAATCGTTAAAATTTAAGGGTATAACACTAGTTGTAATGTTATAAAAAAATGTAATGTTACAAGTTAAATGGTAAATCATAAAAGAATTATTATAAAAATTATTGTTTGAGGGTAATATAGTCATTTTGTACAGTCATTCAGATGTAAAATCAAACAACAAGTTTCAGTCAGAAACTTACTCAGTCAGACCTTCTAACTCAGTCAGCTTTTAACCCAGTCAGTTCTAACTCAGTCAGCAACTATCAAACGACCCCTTAGTAAAAGATTTAAGTTATTGGCATTGTTTTAGCAAAGCCAAATTACTTTACTCTTCCACTTTTAGGACACTTTTGTTGATGAAAGCAATGACGTGTTATTGCTTTGTATTATATTATATTTATTTATTTATAAATTATAGAGAAAATTACAAAATGGTCTCCCTGTTTATTTTAAAATTGTCATTTTAGTCTAAAAAATTTTGGAATCACCATCAGTCCAAAACTTTGATTTTGTTACGACTTTGATTCAATATTTTATTAAGCTTCTTTATAATGATGATTTCTTTCTTACTTTTTCTCAATTTTTTTATTTATATAATTACTTTTCTGATTAAAAGAAATTTTAACAAAATCAACCATTTTCCCTCTTCGCCTTTACCATATCTTTCTTTACTTTCTGATTGTTCACATAAACAAACTAACACAACCACCATCATCTATCGGAAAAATATGAACAACCACTACCACCACTTGTGGGAAATAACCGCCACCAACCGGAAAACACCGCCATTAACCGGAAACCACTGCTACCAGCCGTAAACCATCGCCACCAATTCAACACTACCACCAGCATCATTTTTTCGGCAATGACCAGCTGGTCCTCCATCGATTTTCATAGATCTGAAAACTAAAGATGACGTCGAATTTGTTTGTGCCACCAAATATGTTCATCACCGGCGTTTGTGGTCGAGTCTAGCGGCGATCGTCCTTCTTCGGCTTGATCTATCGTCAAACGACCACCGAAGCCGTCACCTTCTTTCCCCGGTCATCCTTCTTGTTTGAGCTTGCAAACCCTTCGTCAGAGCCACTATCTTCCCCCAACAAACCCTCGTTTTAGATCTGGAACAACAACATGGTCTTCGTCGAGTTACAATGTCTCTATTGAGTTACCAGACGACTCAGCTGATACGAAGGGAGAGGTGGTGGTGCTCAGACACCCTCTTTTTCGGAACCCTCAATCGTCAGATCTTTCCAGTCTTCGTCTTTCTTTCTTCTGAAAATCAGAAGAGAGATGGGGTTTATGGAGAGAGAGAGAGAGAGAGAGAGAGAGAGAGAGGGAGATGGGTTTTCCCGTCGTCGCATTGTTCTAGATCTCCGACGAATTCTCCAACAATGGTCCGACAGTGAAGGTGACATATAATGTGAAGTGGGTATAAGGTGTTAAGGAGTTTTTTACCAAACAAGTGTTTTTAAAAAAAATATTTATCAAATAGGTGTAGTTTCAAAAATATTTACCAAATAGGTATAGGTTTATAATTTTGTACTATTTTCTAAAATTTTCAGCTTTTATTCTATTTCTTATGTTCTTTAATTTAAGTTTTTAAATTTTTGTTATTAATGTTTATCAAATTTATTTACAAATATTTTTTCTTTTATAATATCTTATAGTAATTCAGTAATTTGTTGTCTGAGCATATGATATATTAATATATTAAGAAATCAACAAACAAAAATGTATAAGAGCCGTTATGATATAAAAAATTAGACTTCTAAGATGAGAATGACAATTATATAAACTCACATGTTAAAAGTTAAGCAATTTTATCTTATCAATAGATAATCGTTAGTCCTCCATTATACTTTTATTATGTTTAATTTTATGATTTCAAAAACCAAATAATATCAATTATAATAATATTATAGCATACAACTAAAAATGTATATTGTATTTAACAGTAACATTTTTGTTATGATAATTCGTTTCGTTCGTAAATCTGATAAAACATATATTCATAAAATGTAATCTCCCTTTCTATTATGTAATTTATTTTATATATTATTTATTTATTAATTTAAACCGTTAATCATTCCATTATTCAAGAAATGAAGTAGAGAAACTCTAATTATTTAACCGTTAATAAGATAATAAAATATATATTATTAGTTTAAGCAATAAAAAAACAATTACTATGGTTTAGAATTAGAATAATAATTAACGAAAATACAAACATTTGTTAGGACTTTGGATACGTTTAACACGCTTTAAACTTCATTTGGAAAAAAAATATAAATCTTCTTTTTCATGATATTTATCATTGTTAGTTGTTCAAGTGAAGTTTTTGACTAAACAAGTATTATTATTTTTTACAAAAAAATTTGTGTTTTTAAACAAATTTGATAAACATTAATAACAAAAAGTTTTAAAAAAAATTAAAAAAACCATAAATTTTAAAACTACACCTTTGGTATATATTTTTGAAACTACACCTATTTGGTAAATAAAATTTTAAAACACACCTCTCTGTCAAAAACTCAGGTGTTAAGGATAAGAGTTAAGTAAGTGGGGGTAGGGGTGGAATGTTTCTTTTTGTTTTTTTATTAGAAGAATGTTAAAATAAATATTAAAAAAAAAGTAGAAAAAGAAACCAATGGCAAATTCATCATTTTAAATATTCTAAAATATTTAACTAAATCAAAGTTTTTGACCAATGATATTAATTTAAATTTTTTTGAACCAAAGTAGCAATTTTTAACTAACCATATGAATCATTTTTGTAATTTTGTCTAAATTAGAACATAAAAACCACTATATATTTTGTCATAATTCAAATAACATAAAAATTATTATATATTTTTTCATTTTTTCCGATTTCACAGCCTAATTTTAATTTGTACTAAAAAACCACTAGGTTTTTTTTATAAAAGTTCTATCACAACCATTATGAAGTGCTAATGTATGCGGCGCTCGATTCCAAGATCTGTGGCGCACAGATCAAAAAACTAGACTAGATGGTGATTTTTTGGGCTTGTTTGCTTGGCCTACAAGCAATCCAAAATTTTGTAATTATAAATGGATTTTCTTGTATGTTTGTAATTCTAAGCAGAAAGTGTATGTATGTATGTGTGACGATTGTGTATGTATGTATGTGTGACGATTGTGTATTTTTTCTACGTCTAATAAAATTCCTTATGATTTGCCCATAGAATAACACTGGTAACACTGTTACTTTGATCGTATGAATCATGTTAAATCTTTGTCTTCTTAATTTTACTTCACATATTTATTATTCGGTTTAACGTATCTTTATACCTAACATTTTGTATTCAATCCATTGCCACGAAAGCAACCATGGAGTTAAGGCATATATTCACCCCATTTTTTAATTTTAACACATTTTGGGTTGAGAGGTTTCTTGGATAGGCTACAAGAGTTAATTTGGACAAAAAAAAAAGTTGAAGTTGAATCTATTTTGCGTCATGTGTGTTATTTGCATATTGCAACAACCGTTCATCTTTTCAACTCTTGTCATGTAGCTTTCTTAATTTGGTCTAAAAAAAATTATGGCGAGATATTACTAACCCTTAGCACAACAAGATTCATGAATTAATTAGGTGGTTGAATGCTTCGGGTGTTAACAAGAATCAAATAATATGTCTTGATGCGTTGGTTCTTACTATACATCAATATGAGGGATTTAAATTTACTAAAATGATGTGGTGTTTTGATCTACAATATCAAGAAAAAGACAGACAAAATTGTTTATTAGTCTTATTTTTTGGTTGTTCATATGAAACCTAAGTTTATAAATTAATAATATTGGTTCGTCACAAATCATCATCATTGTTATTTCTTATTTGTAATGTTGAATTTTTTCTAGCATCTTGCTAGTTTTTAACAGATTTTGATCGTTAAAACTAACTAGAGAGTAATTATTGAAGTCCCTCCATTACATTATTGGCATCATCATCGGAATTTGAGCTCATTCTTAGGGTAATGGCTTCACCATCAAACTGGAATCGTAATTAATTATTTTTACAAATTAAATTTGATTAACACAAACACCCTCTCAACATCTAAGAAGTGATCACGTAATAGATAGGAAATTGTGTAGGAATAGCTATCCGAGTGTAGAATTTATTTTGGTCTGATCTCAAATCCTTGAATGATAAGCCCTGTAAGTTGCTCCCGTTCGTTAAAGGTAAATTCAAATGCTAAGTTGAGAGAAGTAGGAGTATCTGCTTTAAATTGAGATATCTCAACTTCCATCCACCCATCTTTCCTTAGTCTCGGGAGGCTGTCTATTTTGGGTCTATACAATGGGTTCTTGTTTTGTCTTTGATTACTATCTTGATCACCATCTGTCAGCATGATGAACGGGATTGTTGGGCTGGTTAAATAGATCACACCAACTTCACTGAAATTCGGAGAGTCTCTGTTGATATCCCTTACATCTACAGGACACTCAAGTGTCCCCTGGCTAACGTCTGGCAATTTGTACACAAGGTAAGTTGCATAGGGTGTGTTTAATGATACCATATGGAAGTTGATATGGCAGTTTATACGTAAAACCCTGCCTAATTCACATTCAGCCACCTTCTCGAATCTGCAAATATATATATATTCAATTAATTAATGTTTTCATTTGCAAGTTTCATATATAACCAAAATCAATTATGTAGCTACGTACCTTGATTCATGTAGAGATATCCAACGAAGACACGCAAGCTGTGAGAACCTTCTGGATTCCTCATCGCACTCTTCTAAAACTGCTCTTGCTGATGCCATACAGCATTTGATTCCATCTTTATCAAGAGAAAACAACTGTGGGAACGATTTCAACAATCAAATACAGTGTTTGCGACAAATTAACCTTTCCTTTGTTACTCTTTAAATTAAGAACGAAATAAAAAAGATTATTATTTACCATTTGGCCTCTGTTGATAAGAATCCCGTTTGAAAGAAGCATGTAGATTTCCTTGTTAGTAATGTTGTATGGGACACGATCCTTTGCTGATTTGATTATGTATTGATAGTCGGTTGGTAGTTTTTGTTCCCAGTTTGTATTTGAATTGTCTGCTACTACTACTACTGGTTCTTCTTCTACAGCCTGTAGATGAAAATAAAATTTAATTTTATCCAAAATGTCAAGATATTGATCTTGTTATGATCGATGATGATGCTTAAATAACTACCTGCATCTCGACAGGCAAGAACTGGATGCCTTCTAGTAACATGATATTATAACTAGGAATTCCTTCGAGCAAAAGCTCAAGCTTTGCGACTTTTCTGTAACTAACAAACTGGCACAGTTCAATCATCATCCACCCATTATCGGTCCAGTCTGCAAAGTGGGAGAATGATGATTCATATGCGTCTTTAAATTTGTACTGTAAACCAACAAATGTCGGTTGAGAAGACGTGATCTCTGATGATTCGTCTAAATGTGAAACGTCATTAAATCTATGAAAAAATTTGAACACCAAGTATGCTGCGTATGTGATTCCTGGTGACAATAAAATCGTTTCTATATCAACCTCTATCTGCAAATTATGTGTTCCTTCAATCTTAGCTACCTCAGAAAACCTGCGTGGGAGAGAGGAGTTATGCATCATATGTATATTGATCTATGTATGTGTGTGTATACAGAGATGATCATGAGCCATGAGAGAACCTCGATGTAGAATAAGGAATCCACTCCACAGTTCCAGGATCTTGGAACGAGAACTCTGATGCAGAAATCATCTCACAGTTGTGTTCGTTCTTGCTCAAGGAAAACCACTAGACATTTAGAAATATCTCAAATTAGTACCAAACGAATTTATTATTATTTTTTGCTAATTCGGTTGGTAAATTATACATTTATCAATTATGCTCATCAAAACTTTAAAGAAACAGAGCAGTAAATTACCCTTCTACCCCAATCAACACGAACTCCTGAAGATAGAAGCAATTTGAGTTCTCTTTTATTTGTGTAGACTAAGGATTGTTCTCTATCAGCCATCTCGATTATCTCTTCATACTCCATGGGTTTTCCACTTTGAAAACTTTCCTGCAAAACAAAACGTCAATTTAATTAGCATCTTATGATTAGGAAAACAGATAAAGGAGAAGTTCTACTATACTTGCCTGATATTCAAGTGCAAGCTCAAGTTCTTCAAGCACTTGAGCCATGGTCGGGCGTTCTTCACGCTCTCTTTTCAAACAACGATATGCAATTGAAGAAAAGGTTTTTAAAGAATTTGGTTCCATTTGTTCCCGTAGACCATTGAAGATAATATCTTCTAGTGTTCCTTGTTCATAGCTCTGTTGTGCGAGTTTTGTCAATAAGCGATGCTTATCATCGGGTCTCCCAATGCACAACCTCCCACAAAGGACTTCAAACAATACTGCCCCAAACGAGTACACATCCGACTCCTTTGTCAGAATATTTGTCTCTGCATACAACGGATCACAATACCCAAATGTCCCAACTGCATTGGAGACAAGAAAGGTGTACTCTTGATTTGCAGGGCCCATTTTGGACAACCCAAAGTCTGCTATTTTAGCTTCCCAAAACTGATCTAAAAGAACATTAGCGCTCTTCACATCTCGATGCAAGATTCTTTGCTGTGTTCCAAGTGGGTTGTGAAGGTACTCCAGTCCACGAGCTGCCCCAATGCATATCTTGAGGCGTTGAGCCCATGTGAGAGTGGTGCTGCTAAGGTACTTTTCGAGGCTACCATTAAACTCATACTCATAAACAAGAATCTTTTCCTCCCCTTCGTCACAGAAACCTAAGAGAGAGACTAGGTTTTTGTGTCGATAACGAGAAAGCATCATTATCTCCATCAGAAACTCATGTTCACCTTGTCCATGGCGTCTGTCTAACCTCTTTATTGCGACGGTTTTTGTTAGCCCGTCAGTGGAAGTTATCTCTGCTTTGTAGACCTTGCCGAATCCACCCACCCCGATAAAATTCTCAGGTCCAAAGTTATTGGTGGCCAATTTTATGACATCAAATGAGATTTTGAGGTGTTCCAACTGTTTCAGCAGCGCCATAATCGATTTCAGAAAGGGGAGGGAGTATGAAATAAAGGTATAGCTTAATTAGCTCCCAGAGTTATTTATTTTAAACTTCTTATCTCTTGAAAAGTTTCCGCGTCCAGATCTGAATGTGCATCGACAAAATACTTTGAATTCTATTAATTTGCATACAAAAACCGTTTACTTTGACTTTTATTTTTGTGGAAGAAAATGAAACCATTTACTTTGACTTTCCGTATCTTCTTATCCGGATATCTAAATTTTAGTCCAACTATTAAAAAGTGGACATTCTGGTTCGACTAGTTTCCAAAACCTATTCTTAGGGTTGTTAACTATTTCGATAAAATCGAATTGTCCAATTGAACAATTTGGATTGGACTAGTTGGTTCGGATTTTTGAATTTTTGGATTGGTTTCCACAAAACCGAATTATTATTTTGAATTTCGGATTGGTTATGGTTTATAAAATAAGAACTCAATAGTCCAAAAAAACCAAATAACGGTTTATTATTTATTTATTTTTAATATATATCTATAATTATTTATTAGTTTTGTAATTTATTTTTTGAAATAGGTTCAAAAAGTTTCACCTAATATAAAATATTAATATGTATTTTCTTTCAAAAGTTTTTTTATCTATAAAATATTAAAATATAATATATCTTCTTAATAGTTGTTTATAAATTTCAAATCGTAACTAAATAATTTGTTTTTGCTTCTTGTGTAAAATTCGGTAATGTTATAATTATATGTTGTTTTAAAATGTTTTAGTTTTTAAAACCGAATTATGAAAACCGATCCAACCGAATTGTAATTGGATCGGATCGGATCGGATTTGATTTTAGTTTGGACTATTGGGATCCATGTTTTGAAAAGCGAAACCAATTTGGATTCACTTGATTGGATTGGATCAAACTGATTCATCCAAACGAACACCCCTACCTATACTAATTGTATTTGGAGGTTGAATCAAACAATTTAGAGCATCACATGTGAGTTTTTTGCTAAACATCTCAACAAAATAATAAAAAGCTCAAAATATCACTACAATAAAAAAGCTTTTTTATTAATGTTTTTTATGAATTAAAGATAATTAATATTACATAGAGACCCCATAAAAAATAATTAAACAAGCAATTAATTAAGTTTTCTATTGGTTGAAAGCGACGATTCCCATACACTTCAAAAAAAAATTTAGATCCAGTTATGATTAAATTCATTTTCTTGAGTTCTTGTGACAAATTTGCTTTTAATGCTCAAAATCGTCAAAATGCAAAACATATTATTAGTTTTTATTTTTCAGAATTTATCTTATTATTATATTATTTCAAACACCAAATTTTTTTCCCGCAGATGTTCGCAAAGGCTTTGGCAGGATTTATCTTATTATCATATTACTTTTAGTCCAATGGTTAGTTTCTTCCCTCGTCTTTATGTTTTTGTTTATTTGTATGGTATATTTATTTATGTTTGAGTTACTGTATTTGGGGTTTAGAATTTGTTCTTGTTCTGGCTTCTCTCGTTGCCTTTTCTTGTAGTCTTGAGGTTGTTTTGGCCCATGATGCGTCTCGTATGGGGCCGTTCTTCCGCCCTGCTATTTTTTTATTTTTTCTGTTAATAAAATTTAATAGAGGTACCCCCACCCCACCCCTCCCTTTTTGTTTATCAAAAAAAAAAATTACATTGAAAACCCATCTCTTGTACCAAATAATGGATTTTAAAAGTATATCCGAAGGCCCACTCAATCTTTAAAAACTTGGATAAAAAAAATTAAGAACCACCACCAATTCGGGGAGTAATGTTTGATTTTCTTTAAACATGCCCACACATCCCTGTTAACAACTAGTAGATCTCATTTCACAAGCACAATTTATTTGGGTCTGATCTCAATTCCTTGCACAATGAGCCCGGTAAGCTCCTCCTCGTTGTCACAAAGGCTCAATTCAACATTTATGTTTATAGTACTACTAGTAGTAGCATCTGTTGTAAATTCCCATATCTGAGCCTCCATCCATCCATGTTTTCGTTGCCTGGGAGTGCCCTCGATTTTAGGTCTATGCAACGGGTTCTTATTTGGCCTTTGATTATGATCTTGGTCGCTCTTTGCCATCATGATTAAAGGGGTTTTCGGACTGGATAAGAAGACAAACTGCACCTTTTCGTCTTCAGAAGAATATCCATCGGAATCTTTTACTTGTAGAGGACATTCAAATTTCCCATCGCTTACTTCTGGCAATTTGTACACAAGGTAAGTTGCATACTTCGTGTTTGTTGACATCATGTGGGAGTTGATACGACAGTTGATATTTAATTCACTCCCCGATTTACATTCGGCCACCTTCTCGAATCTGCATCACTTACATGTTTTAAAAAACACACCAAAACGATATGCATCAATCTTGTAAGAAGGGTACGTACATCGATTCATGTAGAGATATCCAACGAAAGCTTGTGTCTTCGTTGTCTTCTAGAACTACTCTTGCTGCCACCATACAACATTTGATTCCATCTTTATTAAGAGAGAAGAACTGTACATCAATGATTTCAACAATAAGCGTTAACAACCCAGAAGAATACAATTTGTTATCAATAAATCTCTCCTTTGTAATTAGAAATTAAGTAGGATTAATTATATATGTACCATTCGGCCTCTATTAGTAAGGATCCCATTGATGAATAGCATGTAGATTTCCTTGTTAGTGATGTTGTATGGCACATGATCCTTTGCCATTTTGATTATGTATTGATAGTCACGTGGTAGTTTTTGTTTCCAATTTGTATCTATCATCGTATTAGAATTGTCTACTGCTACTGGCTCTTCTTCTATAGCCTGTAAAATGAAAATAAAATGGATTAATTCAAAAAGTCATAATCTCATGGAGTAATTATGGTGGAAGGATGCATGATTGATGTTTACCAACTCCACAGGCAAGAACTGGATGCCTTCAATTAAGATGCTATCACGAACATGAATGATATCGAGTGAAACCTCAAGCTTTGTGGCTTTCTTATGACTAATGAATTGGCACAGTTCAATCAACATCCATCCGTTATCTATCTGCTCTGCAAGGTAAGAGACTGAAAATTCACCTGCATCTTTAAATTTATATTGTAAACCCACATATAGTGTTTCAAATAACATCTCGGATTTGACTGTATGTGAATCATCAGAATCATGATCAGAGTTATGATCAGAATCGTCAGAATTATCCTCATCAAAATTTTTGAAGACAAGGTATGCAGCGTATGTGATCCCGGGTGTCAAGAAAATCGTCTCTATATCAACCTCTATATTCATATCCTCTGCTCTTTCAATTTTTGCTACCTCTGAAAACCTGCACATGAGGGACAAATTAAGGAGTTAGCCATCATATATATGTATCTATGTATGTGTCTATATGTGTAACATAGATAAAGAGAGAAAGAGAACCTTGATTTTTGGTCAGGAACCCATTCGATAATTTTTGGATCTTTGAATGAAAACTCAGATGCAGAAATCATCTCACAGTTGTGTTCGTTCTTGCTCAAGGAAAACCACTAAACATTTAGAAATATCTCAAATTAGTACCAACATGAATCTAACTTTGTTTATTGCACTTAACCAAATTAAAAAGTACTGTTTTATTACATTCCTTGATAATTCATTTGGTAAAATGCACATTTACAAATTATATACGGTCTTTAGTAATATTTCATTAGTGTTAGCAAATTTTATAGGAATGCATGAAGTTTCTAACAGAGTTCATATTGAGTTTAAGAAAAATTAAATTACCCTTCTTCCCCAATCGACAAGAATTCCTGAAGATAGAAGCAATTTGAGTTCCCTTTTATTTGTGTAGACTAAAGGATGCTCCCTATCAGCCATCTGGATTATTTCTTCATACTCCATGGGTTTCCCACTTTGAAAACTTTCCTATAAAACAAAAAATGTCGGATTTAGCATCTGCAGATCGAATTTGTTAACTATGATTAAGAATTCAGATAAAGGAGAAGCACTACTATACTTGCCTGATATTCAAGTGCAAGCTCAAGATCTTCAAGCACTTGAGCCATGGTTGGGCGTTCTTCACGCTCTCTTTTCAAACAACGATAAGCAACTGAAGAAAAGGTTTTCAAAGATTTTGGTTCCATTTGTTGATGTAGACCATTGAAAATAATGTCATCAAGCGTTCCTTGTTCATAGCTGCGTTTTGCTATTTCTGTCAACAAGCGAGGCTCCTCATCAGGTTTCCCAATGCAAAGCCTCCCACAAAGGACTTCAAACAAAACCACCCCAAATGAATACACATCTGACTCCTTTGTCAGAATATTTGTCTCCATGTAGAGCGGATCACAATACCCAAATGTCCCGACTGCATTTGAGACAAGAAAGGTGAACTCTTGATTTGCTGGGCCCATTTTGGACAACCCAAAGTCGGCTATTTTAGCTTCCCAAAACTGATCTAAAAGAACATTCGCACTCTTCACATCTCGATGCAAGACTCTTTGCTGTGTCCCAAGTGGGTTGTGAAGGTACTCCAGTCCACGAGCTGCCCCAATGCATATCTTGAGGCGTTGAGCCCATGTGAGAGTGGTGCTGCTAAGGTACTTTTCGAGGCTACCATTAAACTCATACTCATAAACAAGAATCTTTTCCTCCCCTTCGTCACAGAAACCTAAGAGAGAGACTAGGTTTTTGTGTCGATAACGAGAAAGCATCATTATCTCCATCAGAAACTCATGTTCACCTTGTCCATGGCGTCTGTCTAATCTCTTAAATGCAACGACTTTTGCTAGCCCCCCGTCTGTGGTTGTGGTTATTATCTCTCCTTTGTAGACCTTGCCGAACCCACCAACCCCGACAAAGTAGTCATCGTGGAAGCTGTTGGTGGCCAGCTTTATGGCATCTAATGAGATTTTTAGGTGCTCCAATTCTTTCAGCATCGCCATAATTAGTTTGATATGACAATCGCACGATTTCGGAAAGATAGGAATGAAATAAAGGTATACCTCAAAAGGTTTTTACGTTGCTTGTTATGGAAAACAGGAGAAGTCTCTACCTCGAGATCTAAATTAATTAAGGGACTAGAGAAAACCATTATATTTGTACGGATTGAAAAAGCCGTTTACTTTGACTTTGCATTTTGTTCTTATTGTTTAAGTCAAAGTCTATGTCGACATGATAACGTGAGTAGAAGGCATGTACAACTATTAGGGCATCTATAATTTATTGAAATTTATAGATTTCAATAGATTGTGATATTATCTATTAAACATCTATATAACACCACCCACAACCCATTAAACACATATCCTAATTACAATTTTATTTGTTCTATTGAACCATTTAATTATTATTCAACTCTTTTATTCAACTTTATTTTATGTCATCGTCCACACTCCATTCAACTTTTATTCAATCCTAATTATGACTCTCTAACTCTTAGGCCATCTCCAATGGATTAAACCCATGAAGAGTTTAATGAAATGCCAAGTAGGATTGAGAATACTTCAACTCTTAAAAAACTCAAAAATTTGCATTATAATTCTATTGAACTGTTGAATGGTCATTCAACTCTACCTTCTCTCTCATCAATATTATATTCAAATTTATTCTAGTGAACTCTTATACAACTCCCATTGGAGATGACCTTATATTACTTGCATTATGGATGCTCTTAATATATAGTTTTATAACATGGTTGCGTTGGACAAAAAGAAATTGGAAAAATGACAAAAGTATGTATCTGGGATCCTTGAAACAATTGGAAAATGATTTTAGGACAAAACTAATTCAGCCAAAACAGATACAAATATTTAATATCAACCAAAAACACATAAACTCAAACACAAACACATAAAACGAGTGATCATTCTTGCATAAGCAACCTAAGGAACTCCATCTTCATTGTATCACTCCTTGGAGCCATAAAATTTTGAAGTATAATTATAAATAAAAAATACTTTTTTATTTTTAGAAAAAAATAAAAAGAAAAATCATTGAAGTTTTGAAAATTTTAAAAGGACTAATACTTTTGAAAACTAAATGAATAAAAGTAATTTATAATTAAAAATATATATTATTCCATTCCCGGAAGGAGTAAAAAAAAAATTAGAGGTAGCAATGGGTCGACCTGGGTTGGGTTCGGGTTCAACCCATTTAATAATTGGGTTGAAAATTTCAACCCAACCCAACTTGTTTATTTAAATGGGTTGATATTTCCAACCCAACCCAACTTTTTTGATAAATGGGTTGTTACTGGGTTGACCTATTTATGTAGTTCCCGACCCAACCTATTAAATAAATTGGTTAAACTTAAGTTAACCCGTTTAAAATCAATTAAATAAATTATATAATTAAATTTTATACCACTTAAATTATAAAACGTAAATAAAACTTCATAAATATGACAAAAACACAATCATAATTCATAAATACAAATAAATTGTTCAAATAACATTAAAAATGTTTAATTTCACAATGATTTTGGAGAGTGGTCAGTATTATCGACGCTAAAAAAATGATGGAAATTAGGATTGAATTTTATTAAACATAGATAATAATAATGCAACATTATAATTTACAAATTAATACTTTGATTAATACATAATAATATTCAAATAATATTAAATATATATATATATATATATATATATATATATATATATATATATTAAAAAGTTAAATGGGTTGAAAACGGGTTGATAATTTTTACCCAACCCAACCTATTTAATTAAATGGGTTAGACGGTTTGACCCATTTAAGTTAAATGGGTTAAAAATCCCAACCCAACCCGCCAATTTTGGGTTGGGTTCGGGTTGGGTTGGCGGGTTGGGTGGATTTTTGCCAGCTCTAAAAAAAATCCTAGCATGGAATGAAAATCAGAGGAAAATGAATAATTATAAATATATCATTCCATTCCCGGAAGAAATAGATTAAAAAAAACTTCTCGCAATAGAATGAAAATCAATCCTCAATGGAGAAAAAGGAATCACATTCCATAAGAAATAAATCAGAAACAGATTGGAACTTTTTGGATTAGACTGGTCATACCAGATAATACTCATGAGCTTTTTCAGGCCAGATTTTCAATCCCCGGAGCTGGACCGAACTTTTTTGTCTGAATTGACTGGGCTGCACTGTGCAACTCTAATGACATGGCACTGGGTTTCCATGTCATCTGCCACGTCACATCATAGTCTATGTCACTTTGTCATCACAAAACCCAATTAGGATCACCCTCCTTTTTCTCCAAAAATTCTTGTCCCCTTGTAACTTCCCCAATAGCTGGCATGGCCAATGCATTCAGATCATGCCCTAAAAACTAATAATGAGGTAATAGTTGATTTCAATAAATTGCAATTTACCCAAAAAAAAAAAAAACTATCAATAGTGACTTTAAAAGTTAATAGACAGATACAAATTTGAAAATTAATGTTTCAAAAATTGGAAACTTGAGCATTTTCTTAACAAAAGTTAGTGGTTGGATAAAGATGAAGTGCCAGACGGAATGATTAGGATTGCAAAATAATGATATTTCCTACCAAAACATAAGAAAAACCAATAGAACCATCAAAGACTTTTGGTGCCTTTCTTCATATCAAAAGTCAAAAACAACACTCTTAAAAGCACCACCATATGCATATTAACATTCTCGTATATATGTCTTATAAAAACCCTAAATGAACCTAATTAACCACCATGCTATAATTGTGCACCAGCAACTGTTGATTCTGTTAATGAATTCATAGCACTCTCCCCAACTTCACTCTTACAAAGAGGACACGAAGCATTAATCTTTAACCATTTGTCCACACAATCTTTGTGAAAGAAGTGACTACACAGCAACTGCCTCAGTTCATCATTGTTTGCATACTTTGCCAAACAAATACAGCACACCTGTTAAGTAAAATATATGGATCATGATTATATATAAGAAGAAAAAAAAAATCTTCAATAATGAGAATGGGAAGGGCAATAACGTCATTTACACAGACAAGAGATCAATAGCAGATCTGTGTCCCAGCTTTTTGGATGAGACAGAAACTGCAATTTTTGTCTCATTCACATAAGTCTCATGTCAAACACAGTACAACCTGTTCTGTTATGTTTTGCCGGTACTTACCGCATCTTCTCCTGAAAGGACACATTCATGTTCTGTTCCTGCAGCCACAACACCGCCTTCGGTTGTACTTTCGTGGGACCCTCTGTTACTCCCATGTTTATGTTTCTTGATTTTAAATTTGTAAGTAGGCAAAGAATTAATCGATTCAGAAGTGGCTCCTCTATTTTGTGAAAGATCTTCCCTGATACCCATGACTGAAATAATACAAGGGAGGCAGCAACAGATTGTGGCACACAAGATGAAAGGCATTGCATACCCAATACAGCTAAAGGCAAGAAACACTAAACATAACCTGTCAAAAACCAATAAAAATAAATAAATTATAAGATATAAGAGCAACCATAAAAACGATAGAATTATAAGAATGACACCTGTACAAGTTGGGTGCATCAGAAAGAGAAGAATGACCTCCAAAGATCCACACATTCCCAACAACAAACCAGACTGCGAAAAAACAATCCAGCCCCATTTTGAAGTATTCAACAAGTACTTTCAGTCTGCAACACAAAATAAAATCTATAAAACATATGTTGCAAATGGAACATTGTTGACAACTACATGCTACATACCTTGCATTCAGCAATACCCTTACAGGTCTTGTTGTACTAGTGGCATTATTAGTGTCACCTACAGAAGACCTTGCATTTGAAGAAGTTAAAGAGGTAGCCATGGCAGAAAGGAAATTTGGGGAAGAATTTTGGCGAGGCTGAGCTGGATCTTGTTCTGATGTTTCATTGCGATAATAAAAACGCCAAAAGAGAAGAGGGAGAGTTGCAACACATCCAGAAGCATAACCAATAACCCATGTAAATAAAGGAGCACGAGGGTGCTCATGTCTGGACATGGACAGAACGACAATGGCTGCTATTATTTGGCTCATTGTTATAACTAATTCAAAACATATCCAATATCCAGAATTCAATGGACTCCTACGACGACCATTTGTCCCATTTGCCCTCCTAGCAAATGGTGTATTTCTTGGATTTGTCACATTGGTAGTAGAGAAAGAATGTTGAAAAACAGGATCGCTTACACTGGTTGAAGGGAGGTTTTCATTCTGCTGTGCGTTTGACCTGTTCACTTGTCTATCTTGTGTTGAGGTAGATGAAGAAGAAGGTTCAGTTGTTATATCAATCACATGCCCATTGTCCTCCCTGGTTTCTGCTCGCTCCATTACTTGTTGTTCCTTCTTTGTTTCAACTTTACAATGTAGTCCCAACTCACAAACGCCCATCTACCAACTACAACTTAGCAGAGAAATTTTCAGATAAACATTCTCCTAATGTAAACCCTAATCAACACGCAAAACCTAGCTTCGGAATTCTGATCTTTCTAATACGTATTCAGAGAAAACGACCAAGTAAGTAAACAATGGATCAATGAAACAACTGGTGTCATCAGAACTCACAATTGAAAAACCCTAGTAGTGCAAAACATCAATTTCTTGCGTATTTGAGCTGATTTTATGGGAAGAATCATACGCGAACAAAGAGGAAAGACTAACCAGTGAGTATGCGATTAAACTAGCAAAGAATCGGAGGGATTTGCGGCGAAGTTGTGAAGATCAATCGTTCAATTGAATAACAAACACCCTCACACATAGTGATTAATCGTTTCTTTCTCTTTTTCTTTTTCTTTTTCTTGGGCCGATAGATACAGATATTATAATATCGTGTCAACTTTGACTTTTCCGTATTGCTCGATATGACTTTGGATATTCTTCGGTTTTAATGCGTCAGGATCGATGTACAGCTAACAATGCACAAGGTATAAAAAAATTTTGGATCATTTATGATTTCATCTCTTTGGCAAACATCATCTCCATTTTCGTCCACATTTATTCGAACATAAAACGCAATAATCCATAAAACACTGATATTTGTATTTCCCGGTTAAAAAAAAACACTGATATTTTATCAAAATCAATAAATACTTTAAATAAAAATATTTTTAATGAATTTATATCGTATATTGCAATATCAATGTTAAATCTCATATAAATTTAAAAGTAAAAATTAAATAAACTGTCCGCAATGATTTGTTTCAATCGGCATGTTTATCTAATTTTTTTACTCATGCGGTCTCTTTGGTTCGATTTTTGGTTTGATTTTGATCTTTGGTCAAATTAAAATGACTATTTTCCTCTTAAAACCATTTTATATTTGAAATTTGTTTAATTACTATTCAATATATTAAATAATAAGGACTCAACGGCCTACAACAAACTTGTCCCAAGGCCCATCTTATGGGGTGTAAATCAAGGAACAATGACATTATCAGGTTTTTTTGAACAGTAGACATTTATGAAAATCTGTACTTGAGCCACTAAACTTTTATGGTGAAGACAATAATGCTATACATCATGATGCATGTGATAAATATGTTGTAAGATAATTGTTTTTATTTTGAATATTTGATACTAAGTAAATTGGTCAAAAAATGTGAGAAGGATGTTAAACTAAATTGTTAAATTGTTAAATCTACTTTCCATAGATATTTTTGTTTCCATATATACTTCTAAAATTACATAAAAAATGTTATTTTTCATGTAACATAACATCACACAAAATGTTTGATCCATCATAATTGCAACATTACAATACACTTGTAGAAATTCCATAGTTGATTACAACATGTGGTTAATTAATAATTACCACTTACAACAAGCACCAAACGTTGCATCCAAATTAAGATGATAAATTATCCAAAACAGGAAATACAAATTCTCCCAGAAAATCCCGGCTCATAATTCATCACATTTTACAACACCAATTTCACAGGTTTTCTGGAAGTTAACGTTGCAACACTTTTATACTGACAAAACAAAATTAAATTACTGTTATTGATGATTTATATTATTCAATTTTACTTAAAAATAGGTGTTTAGTGTTTACCTTCTGTTGCTTGTACTTTTGGCGTATAGCATGGAGAGGGGCTGCATTGTTAAGTTGCAAATCTTGAAGGGCCAGAACTGTAACTTCTAGGTCGGATGCCTTGTAACCAGTATAATGTTCTAAAGTACCATTCTGCAAAATAACAGAGAATAAATCAATTTTATAGTACAATAATTAATAACCAAACATTTATATTTTGTAAACAGTAAACTGACCCATGGATATTCATCATGATCAAGTGTCCATTTGGCTAAAAACACGGCTGAAGCAGCAATGAGGGATGGTAGAAACTTTAGGAAACTATACTCGATTAGAGTCAACTCTGCTAAATAATTTGCCAGATATTCCAGTTCTATAATAGGAGCCTGTAAATAAATGCAGTTTGTTACAATTTTGTTTGCAAATTCAATTTATTGGAAGTTTGTATTAACGTACCTTATAAGAACTTTGTGCTGCTAGAAGAAATCTCCTGAAAAATAAAATAAAACAAGTCAATTTCATTGCATTTCTTATTTCCATTTTGTGGACCCCATACAAAATACATAGAAAAGAAGATTGAAACAATGAGTGTTACTTATTACCTAAGGAACTTCTTTGTAGTTGGAAGAGATAGCTGAAAGCTTATTTCATCCAGTATTTGTTGCTCCATCTCCAATACCTGCTTAATTTAACCTCAGTCATTATATACTACAAGACATGACATGATATGACAGTATTTACTTTATCATCTGTTACACAGAGTCTGTAAGTAAAGTACAGTCTTACAGACTCTGTGTATAACAGATGATAGAATATATATATATATATATATATAATATATATATATATATATATATATATATATATCTTTGATAGGACAACTTAACATACCTCTCCTTTTGTGTAGGTGCTATCAGTGATAAAACAGAACTCTTCAACACGTGGGGCAGAAATTTCTTCATATTTTCTTAAACCAGTAATTAAAAGGATAATTATGATTAGATTACCATTTGATTAATGTATTTATTATTTAAAAGCAATGAAAAGTGAACTTACGAGGCAATAAGCATGCTGGTTATACCAACCAATTGGAGTCTTCTTTTTCCAATGTTTTTCTTGGAAAGATAGTGATCAATGAGAGCAACTGTTAGGTAGAATGTTTCTGAAGCTAGTCCATACTCTTCACAAACCTAAAATTCAAACACCAATATAGAAAATGGAATTTCTGAATGAATAGAATAGAATGTTCAAATTTCAAAAGCTAACCTCCACAAGCCAATCAATTAGAATACTCCGCATTTCTTGTGTGATTTCCAGCTGCACTGTTTTCATGTAATCAACAGAATGCCTCCACTTAAGCTGTGAAAAAAAAAGGTACTTTAGAATAACAAAAGAAAAATATTTTCTTTTTTGGGAAACAAAGAACATGTAGTGGTTATTGGTTAATTGAAGTTTGGTTGATTGTTTTAGTCTTTTAGATATAAAAAAAAACATAGACAAAGGAGGTTATTAACCGATGAAGGGAGGTCAACAGCTATTCAGACCTCTGCTGTGCGTAAATTGCTATACACTTCTGTAGCATATAGGCTGCACATTTGTGGACCCTTGTGTTTGGAATCAATGTCAATAATGGATTCATCATTTAAGGCTTCTGTTGTTGTTTTTCCCTGAGGGCTCACACAAACAGATGGTGCCACTGCCACTGCCACCATCACCCTATCATTCTTCTTGGAAGTACATCTTTTGACCTCATTGCTAATCTGACAACAAAAAACATTATGTTCTTAAATATGTTCTATGGTTTGTCAAAATTTGATAGAAATATCAAATATGTACCTGAAGTCTAATTCCATCTGTGAGTTTTATGCTGGAATGATTAAAGGGATTGTTTGTGATCTCTTTGAGAACAGCTCTTCTTTTGGATTGGACAATAGGAGCAACATCAGTAGATGCAGACTTGTTATCTGATGATGCTCTTTTGGTTTTTGGTTGAAGGATCTGTTTGTGTTCTTGTTTCACTTTCACCACAGGATGTAGTGGTGGCAAAACCCCTGATGTTCCTAAAGCTTTAGCACGTGCTCTAGTGACACGTGCTGTGGTGCATTGGGTATTAGCAACAGGAATATTTTCTTTATTCATGTCACTTAGACTTAAGGAAGAGTAGTTCATGATGTTATATTGACTTGCTTCCTATGAATTCTGCATCTAAAGCGTTCGTATTTATGTTAGCAACTCTTATTGACGCATCTCTATTTGATAATGCATGTAAATCAAATCAAAAGCCACATCTTTGTAGATAAACTGTAGCGCAGTTTGAGAGTATATAATCAAAACCCTTTTCAGAGCAACATAAGAGGTAGAGTAGATCTCAAGATCCTAAGATAATAAGAAGGCTCAAGTTTTTAATCAGAATTAACCAAACAATAAAAGAACAAATTCAGATGCATATTATATACATTTAAAAGATAATCCCCTTGTTGACTGCTGTTTTGTTGGTATAAACATCAAGCTTCTTAAAACTAGAATCAGAATAGAACAAAACTGGCGGCTTAATATATCGAACAAAAGTCTAAATTACTATCATAAATATATATAAATTTGTACTGTTCAAATAGTATTTAAAAACTAAAGAAGTACAAAACAAAATGGAAAGACACCACGTTTACCCAAAAAAAAAATGACAAGGAACTGTCAGGACTCTAACTATTGTTCTACAGTAGTTTACAAGTATATCAGCGGATAATACAACAACAGATGCATCAAACTGGTATGCCAAACAATATATGGTCTATTCAGCTTGAAAAATCGATTCAACACTCATAAAGTCAAAAACGTTAAATCAACCGATTCACGATATTTTTTTCTTAATAAAACAGAAGAGAAAGATATACGCATAGATGTAAGGTAAATCACAACCAAGGAAATGTAGAAACGTAAACAATAAACGTATAACATCGTAGATCTGCGCAGAAGAAAACACACAATGCAGTTCGAACGGATTTAATTCATGGACTAATAATATGCTTTTTTTAAGCTGAAGCTTCAAATTGCGTGTGCGTTTGAGAGAGAGAGAGAGAGAGAGAGAGAGAGAGAGAGAGAGATGTATGAGCTCACTCTGCATTTCGAGGGTTCAATCAGATGCCAAGACCAACAATGGCGTCTGGAGAGAACAACAAAACTAGGGCTCCATTGAAATGCATTATGCAGACACCATAGAGATTTTAGAGACACCGATACAGTAAGTATGAGAGAGACATATGTATATGTAGAGAGAGAAAGAAATAGAAAGAAGGGGAGCGTGAGAGCGGGATAGAGGTACAGTTCAAACTTCCAAAATCTTTCACTACAACCAAAAAAATTGATATTTTCACTCCCTCTTACAAAATAAGCTGGCAAATTTTTAATTAAATTGATAATAATGGGTTTTTTTAAATGGAAGGCCATTTTACGAGAACAAGTCAAGTATTTATAATTAATTAAACAATTTTTTTTAATATAAACTATTTTATTTTATTTTTTAATATATTTGACATATCATTTTTTATTAAATAAATGATGTCAAGAAACTATTTTTCATTACTTTGAGATTCATAATGTTATATATAAATTTTAAGTTGTATTATTCAATAAAAAAATTGATCAGCCTTTTTTTATTCTAAGGTCTTTCCATAAAATATCCCATAAAAAATGCTTAAAATAAGCATAATTTTTTGCAGGCACATTTGCGAAAATCAATATCGGTTGTGATATTTTTTATAAATTTTCACAGGTCACCATTTGCAAAAATCTTGGTGACCTACGAATTTTATTTTAAATTTTGTGCAGGTTATTGGGAGAACCCAAATAGTATAATGATTGTTATAAAGTTTGTATGCGAAAGTTTTGAAGTTTTTTCATAATTTTCACGGCATAACTTACTTTGTAGCTAAACATTTTGACTTTCCGACATCCAAATTCATAGTGTAATATGTCCATGAAAAACTTTGTTACAAAGAACACAATGAAAAAAAATAGCTCAAGTGGAGTTCATATACGAAATTCGTGAAAGATCAAGTTGATTTTTTCTTATTTTTCACCAACTAACCTACCTACTTTGGAGTTAAAATATATAAGTTTCTAACATGTGTAAAATATGTTCATGAAAACCTTATTATAAAGAACATATGGAAAAAAATCAACTCAAATGGAGTTCATATAAAATAATTATGAAACTCGAAGTTTGTAAAATAAAAAAAAAGTATATGATTTTCGTAGGTGGCCTACCAGTGAAAATTGTGTCTATTTTAGAAATTTTTTATTTTTTTGTCATTTTATGGAAAACCTTAGAAAAAAACTACTATTGTTATTCTCTCATTATTCGATTACAAGAAAGATTGACCAAACAGTCTTTATGCAATGTGGATGAACTATATAGTTAAAAATAGAGTAATAGGTCATATTATCATAGATGGTGCTTTAGTGTTCTAAAAAAAAAACTAACAAAGGTGATTGATATAATTTGTCCATTAAATAAAAATTTCATTTAAGCATATAATTTTATATACGAAACGCTTTTCAATATAGGGTTTAGGTCATTTTTGGTCACTTAACTTTTGGTTTTGTGCTCATTTGGTCACTTAACTTTTTTTAAGTTTTAAAAGGTCATTAAACTTTTAGCTTTGTACTCATTTAGTCACTTAACCTTTGGTTTGATCACACTTGGTCACCTAACTTTTAAAATTGTGCTCATTTAGTCACTAAACTTTTAATTTTTTTTTAAAGTTTAGTGACTAAATGAGCACAATTTTAAAAGTTAGATGACTAAATGAGCATAAATCTAAAAGTTAAGTGACCAAACCAAAAGTTAAGTGACTAAATGAGCACAAAGTCAAAAGTTTGATGACCTTTTAAAATTTAAAAATAGTAAAAGTGACCAAATGGGTACAAAACCAAAAGTTAAGTGACCGACCTAAACCTGTAACGTTTGATCCAAGTATTACTCATTTCTCAAAATATTGGAGTTTTTGTGGGAACTCGACGAGTTGGGGAGCTCCAACTCGTCGTGTCGAGAATTTTTTGTTCGTGGGTTTTAATGATTGAACTCGACGAGTTGGCGGGTGTCACAACTAGAAATTCTAATGCTTTGTAAACATTAAACAAGGATAACATTGTAACTAAAACTTGAAAGCAACGTATGATGCTTATTCAATGACAACCAAATTCCATCAAACACTCTATTTCAAAACACTCAAATAGTCAACAAAAGGTTGGAAACCCTAGAAATCCCGGTTTAAGTCCATTATGGACTAGGATTTCTTTATTGGGCCTAATGGGCCAATAAACTTCCAATGTGACTATCTTGGGCTTAGAACTCTTAAATGGGCTCTAATTGGACCCACTCTCATAAGACTTAACCTTTTTGGGCTTTATAAGTCTAAAATGGACTAGTTTACCTTTAATGGGCCTTATTCGGCCATAACAATCCAATAAGCCCTAAAAAGCCACAAATCCATTCTTGCATGCACATTGGGCCGTGAACCACCTCCAAAAGCCCAATGGGCCGAAAACCTACTTAATGGGCTCATGGTTTCGAACAAAAATCAAGCAATGACCCAAGATAAACTACTTCCTTCCTCCTAAGCCCAAGAATTCGGCCCAACTACAAAAGAAAGGGGGAAGAGTTGACTTTAAGGTTGCCACCTCACTATTACCCAACATGTACCCATGCATGGACCAACATGCATCTATAATGGTCACCTCACCCTCTCTATCTTCTCCTTCTACTCTCGGCCGAGGATCACCAAGACACACACACATCACAACAAATTCTCTCAAATTCTCTCAAGACTCATCCATATTCTTCATCCAAATTCTCGAAATTTTGCTTGTGTATCAAGAGGATTTCAAGAGAATATCATCACTTCTTGGTAAGTTGTACTTAGATCTATGGTTTAGTTTCTTGATTCCTTTATAAATCTCCTTCTAACTCATGAAAGTTCATGATCATGCTCCTTAGAACCTATCTAAGCCAAAGCCTTCTCAAGAAGCTTTCTAGGGCCGAAAATAACATCAAACTCTTTCATTCTCTCTTCAAATCGAAAACATCAAAGCAAGGTGAGTTCATACCCCTCTATTTTCGGTTTTCATATGTTTTATGGGGAAGAATGCAAGTAAAATGTGAAGATCTATGTGTATTTGCATGTTATGTGTGATTTCTTGTGATTTTGTGATATATTTGTGCTAAAAAGGAAAGATATTTCGAGATCTATAGTTCAAAAAGGAAAAATATGTGATCTAATTCATATTTCACTCAACATGTCAAGATAAACTAGTATACAAGCTTTAAATTAACATACTACAACATTAAACTCATTTTTGGACTATTTTTGTCAAATAAGTAAAAGTTTGGGAAAAAGTTGTCATTTGCGGTTTTTACAAGGTTCAAAATGTCAAAATAGTTAAAATAAAAGTTTCTATGAACATTATGTTTTTCAAAGGACTAAAAATGAAATTTTATGACTTATTGGGCTAAATTTTGGGCGTTTCGGCCCATAAGCCCAAAGTTGCGAAAAAAAAAATATATGTTTCTTAAGGGGCTGAAATTGAAATTTCTCAAAACATTGGGTAGAAAGGTAAATAAATCTATTTATGGGGTTTAAAATGATCATATTTGTTAAAAAGGATTTAAAATGCAAAGAATTTGGATTTTGGGTAAAAAGTGTAAAAGTTGCGAAAAAGGTGGGCTAAAATACAAATATTTTAACTAAAGGGGTTTAAACTTTCAAAAAGTCACTTTTGGGCTTAAAACATGGTTTAAATAAGTTTTTGGGTCAAAGATGTCAAGAAAAATGGTTCAAGGACCTAAAATGTCATTTTTTTATAAAAAAGGGCAAAAATTGCCAACTTTACAAAATAAGGGGGGCTGAATAGGTCAAATTAATGTTTTCGGTCAATTATGTTAATAATAATAATAATCGGTCCAAAATATACAAAACTTTATAACTTATGGGTTTTAAATAGAAAAATAACTATTTTATAAATCTATAAATCGTTATAAAACAATTTCGTGATTTATACGACATATCGATTAAACAACTCGCAACATTAGTATTATACAAAACAAGTAAACATTCAAATGGTTGGGCTTGAGAGATTCTAATCATGCTTAATGGGCCTTCGTGACTCATTAACATGGCTTTTGGGCCCAACTTAAATAATACATGTTATTGGGCCTCCTGTGACCCAATTACATGCTTAATGGACCCTCAATGGTTTTTACATGCTATTGGGCCTCAGTGGCCCATTAGCATTACTAGTAAGGTCCAAATAAATTATATGCGAAATGGGCGAGCGCGCCTTTCGTATACTCAACAGCCTTAATTAACATACGAAATTAGTAGGGCCTAGTAGTCCTCTTATCCTCGTCTGTTAGGCTTACCTTCTTTTCATGTAAAATAAAATTCGATCATTAATCAAGGTTAATCAAATTCATGTGGATTGAGTGAGTAATAACGGGTGACACCAATAAGTGTCAGTCGTAGTCTGTAGTTGTAATCAAAGTCTCCTGGAGGGAGAGCGAGAGTTTGTGTATAGATCTATACGGGGGTGACTCCCCCACACCTAAGCTGTTCGCTACAGTTAGGCTCGGCCAGTCTAGGGTGACAAAGTCTTAAGATCAAATTCGGTGTTTATTAGAATACTAAGACAGACGAACTAGTCATTATCATGCATGGTTATAACGACTCACGTAGAAATCCGACATCATTAATCAGGGGAAATCATTAATCAAAGGAAATCATTAATCAAGGGAAATCATTAATCAAAGGAAGATCATTAATCAAGGGAAATCATATTCATTCGATGTAACGATTCAATGAAGCAAAACAATCATAACTTTTATTCGGAAGACATCGGGTTTTTCGGGAAAATAAATCTTACTCACTTGTACTTTCAAACATTATAATGCAAAAAACTTCTCATTTATTCATGTTTTGAAATCATTCACGCATATACTTACAGGATCATCACACTATTTTTCAAGAAAGTTTTATTACAGAAAATATCAGATTTTCTGGGTTTTACCAATGACATAAACTACTTTTCATCAAACACACTTATGAACTCACCAATATTATATATGTTGACCGTTTTCAAAATAACTTGTATTCTTAGGTAATCGTTAGTCAAGGAAGCATCCGGTGTGTTGAAAGTTTCTTTTGTAGTTGCTAATCACCAAACACTTTATATTTTGAAATCATGTAATGTAAACCTTGTGCTCGATGTAAACAATGCCAGTTGTACTATGTAATGGT